TGAATTACGATTAACGAATTAGCAATTAAAATAGTTAAAAATAATAAATAAGTCAGAAATATATTCTTTTTTTCTCCAAATTTGCTCTTACTTATTAATAGAGTACACGAGAGATATAATAAATAAGAAAAATGATGAAAAAGAATATATAAGGATAATATTAATGAGATAGAGAAAGTATTAAATATAGTCAACTAAGAACAAAATAGGAAAAATAATAATAAATGTTTAGATAAATTAAAATAAAAACTTATATTTTGAATCAGATTTTTCTTTCTAAATGAAATATATATAGGACCGAAGACAGTGACACAGAGAGCTTAAGAGGCTCACGCAGCTGTTGAGAATTGAGATGTGATTTCATGGGGGAAGGAGCAAGCATTAATAAAGTATCCTAATTCTAAGAAGATGTAAGGGTCCACGGCGTTAAAAGCAGTATGTCTTTCTGATTTTGCCTTAATGCCTTCATGAAATTCTTAAACTAGAGAATAGACCAGGGATTCCGACCAATTAAATGCAACAAGAGTCAAGAGGTCAAATGTGATTGTGAGGCCTTCGTAGTTGGATGAAATTCAAATTCCTGGGCCAAGCATTCCGATAATCTACTCCTTTGCAGTCAAACTTCTTCTTGTTCTTTTCGACACACTCAGATTCCTTCTTCTCATTGCCCTCCAAAAACCTTCTCGTACGCCGGCGAATATTTTCCCCGCCTATTTAATTCACCCCTCCTTTGTTTTCATTCTCTTCAACTACACCATTCCCAAAAATTACTACTTCTTAATTCCCGCCTTCTGTTTTTACATTTCTATCCAGATGAAAATGATGGATCCTTCCCAGAAGTTTAGAGGGTGGAGTTGGGATATTAGGCCATCCAAAGAAAACTGAATCCCAAGGACCACAGCTCCAGAACATACACTTACTCTCTCTCTCTCTCCTCACACACACACACACACACAAGAGAGTGAGAGACGCATACCCAAATCCTTCCTTCTTTTTCATTCTTTTGGGTGTATCCTCATTCGGTAAAAAGAAAGAGGAACATCGATTCTTTCTTCCCCTTTATCAGAGGCTCAGGAATCACAAGACCTCTCCGAATTTGCCATGATTTGATCCCTCCATTTCCCATTCTTACCCAAATGGGTTTTCCTAGAAAAGGACTCTTTTCCCTTATTTTCCTCCTGGTTTGCTTCCAATCCCATCTCCAGAAGTCCAGAGCTTCTTCCGATTACACGACCTTAGTCTACAAAGGTTGTTCCAAGGAAACATTCACAGATCCAAATGGGGTTTACTCTCAGGCCCTTTCCTCCCTATTCGGCTCTCTGGTCTCCCAATCGACCAAAACCAAGTTCTACAAAACCACCTCTGGTTCCGGCCAAAACGCATTAACCGGCCTCTTCCAATGCCGTGGAGATCTCACCAACTCCGACTGCTACAACTGCGTCAGCAGACTCCCCGTGTTGGCCGACAAACTATGCGGCAAGACCATCGCCTCCAGAGTTCAACTTCTAGGTTGCTACATGCTCTACCAGGTTGCCGGCTTCGCTGAAATCTCGGGAATGCAAATGCTGTACAAGACTTGTGGGGCGACGAATGTTGCCGGGGGTGGGTTCGAAGAGAGAAGGGACACGGCATTCTCGATGATGGAAAATGGGGTTGTGAGCAGCCATGGGTTTTATACGACGAGCTACCAATCTGTGTATGTGTTGGGACAGTGCGAGGGAGATGTTGGGGATTCAGACTGTGGGGAGTGTGTGAAACAAGCTGCTCAGAAAGCTGGCGCTGAGTGTGGGAGATCTGTTTCAGGCCAAATCTTTTTGCACAAGTGCTTCGTTAGTTTTAACTATTATCCAAATGGGGTCCCTAAGAGATCTTCTCCTGCGGTTGCATCCTCATCTTCTTCATCGTCCTCATCTTCTTCAGGTAGTTCGACGCACAGACACTAGAACCAGCATAGAGAAGTAGGATTTTTTTTTTTGGGGTATAATAAATAATAGAGCAAATCTAAAACCCCATTTGGACATTTTAGATATGATTACTTTTGTTTCAATCCCATAAAACTTGTTTTTCTAGAGAAAGATTGTGATTGTGTTGTAACTGTTGCTAGAAGGATGAAATTGGAACCATATCAAATATTTGATTAGGACAGTGATGGGGAATCTTTGAAGGAGTGAAAGAACATCAGTCTTGTTTTTAATTTGTTAGGTGGGAATTCTAACCTGTCTTTGTCCTCGTCCCTTTCAATCACAGAGCTGCCTAATTTTTTATATCTTAATCAGATTTGCTATAAAGATGTGAAAAATGAAACATGGCTTTTTGGTGGAACAACAGGGCAAAATACAGGGAAGACAGTGGCTATAATATTGGGAGGGGCTGTTGGTGTGGCATTTTTGGTCATATGCTTGCTATTTGCAAGAAGTCTGATTAAAAAACATGACGGTATGTGTTCAATGAAACGGAAGGGCCATTTCTCTTTTCATGGCATTAATTAACTAGTTTAAAATCCTAATGCTTTCATTCTGGGTAACCACGATCTGTTTCTGTGCAGATTATTAACAACTGGAGATAATGGATTTCTGAGGAGTCCAAATTCTTTTCGCTGTGGATTCTTTCTGCATATTCAGTTTTTGGGGCAGACGAGATGGAGGTTTTGTGGTGGAGAAAGGATCATTCATCTGGATCAAGGCTTTCTATTCATTATTCAACGTGGGGACTACTTGTAAGGCTTGATGGTTTGGTAAGATTCTGTTGGGAAGAGCAGTATTATTACACTTGTTAGAGCATGAAAGTGAGAACCCTTCTGTCTGTTTTCTTTTACAAAAGGGTGAAAAATTACCCGAAAGGAACGAATTTTTGTAATCCAAGAAATGGAAGGATAGAAAATTTTAGGTGATCGTCACCTTTAGCCATGTGGGTGATTCTGTGTTTTCCCTCCTCTCCAGGCTATTGAGGCTCCATTTTCTTCACTAACTTTATGTTTTTAAGAAAGTTGCTAGCATGTTGCTTGCTTGCTCACACGCACTTGGGTTTTTGTGTGTCTTGAATGGAGCAGAGCGATGAGTCAAATTCTTAACAAGTCAAAATCAATTAAAGAAGAAAAAGTGGCACAGTAATTGGAGCACCTTTTTTGGGAATTTGGATTCTTTACAGAAATTTCATGCCATCCAATTGGACACAGTTAGAGATGTGGGTCCATTCAAACGGACTTGCTGTTTAGTAGTGTTTCTTTCTTTCCAGTAGTTGTGCAGTGCCCTGGTTAAAAAAACAAAAAAAAAGTTGTGCCGTGTTTTTTTTTTTTAAAAAAAAAACACAGTGATTTGTCGCTTTAATCTAAATGAAGGACAGGAAAGAGGTAACACGCGGTATCGTTGTAGAAAACTAGCTGGTTGAAGAAGTACTTTTGTTAAATGAGTATTTATTATGCGTTCGTAATTTTTGGTCAAATGATTTTAAAATAGTTATTAAAACAGCTGGTAATTAATGATACATAGAAATTAAACTTGACTTTTATAAGAAAAGTAGTTTGATACTAATGTTTTTCTTAATATATTTGGAATGCGTGGCTTGCACACTTCAGCCGGGAGTGATGGCGCAGAAAAGTTGTTCAAGAAAAAAATATGAAGTATAAACATTTTTTCCAAAAGAATTGTCGGCCAAAAATTAAAGAAATGCCTTTTTTTGGGTTTATTCTCATTTATATAATAATATTTGAATTATATGGATGGACATTTTATGTAATTAATTTGATGCATGCATTTAACTAAATAAAAGATTGGAGGGGAATATGATGATGACAAACTTTTTGCGGTGCCTATGAAGTAGCATGAGCCCATGCAAAAAAGAGACACTTTTAGTGTGTTTTAAGAGATGGCATTTTCAAATCCCCTGCAAAACTCATTTTTAAATTGTGATTTGAATTGAGACCATCTCACGTCAATAATCAACATCCTTTTTATTTTTATTTTTTATTTGAAAAAAAGGGAAGCATATGCTGCTCACATGGGGGAGGAGAGTTATTTAGTGCTTTTGGTTGTACCATAAGGAATAACAACACCTTCACATTCACAACCATGTGCTTCACCGCTTGCAATTGTTACTTTTATTTTCGCCCCTAACCTTGCCAATGCCAATAAGTATAAAAAAGGGCACAAACAAATTAAGTCAATTATCAAATGCCCATAGAATTGTCCCTCACATTAACTCAATTCGTGACAGTTTGACAAGTGACTCCTTTTCCCCAGGTTATATGTGAGCAAATACTCGGAAGACAAAGTCACAAAACCAAAATGAGAAAAGAGACGCGCACACATCTATCCTTCTTTCTTTCTTTCTTTCTGGGTTAAATTTGCGAGATGTTATTGAACTTGTTCGGGCAAGTTGGAGGGGAAGGGAAACTTGTGAGAGGCAGAAGGCAGGAATGACAGGTTGGTGACAAAAGGGAGATGCACTGCAAGCCACGGCTCCTAACAACAACACAAAGTCGCAAACACAACGCTGCCCACCTACTCTCCACTTTGCCACCTATAACCCCCCTAGTTTCTCCCTTTTCCCAGAAAAAAGACTGATAATTAGGGATCCTATGACATCATTAATATACATTTAAAACATTCAAGCGGTAAGAGAAATTTATTTAGGAAACAGTGAGCGAGAAAGAGAAATTTATTTAGGGGGTGTTTGGATAGAAACCAAACCATGGTTTCAGAAGTGTTTTTACGGATTACGAAGCAAATATGTGAAGGAGATTGTCTCGTTTTGCGGAAAAGTGCTTCTGAAACCATGATTTTGGGTTTTCCAAACACCCCCTAGTTAAGGGAAAAAAATGAGTGGGTTGGCTAGGGAAATGGAAGAAATGCAAGGCTTTGTTGGGAAGCGATGCATAATGTGCAGGAACAGACAAACCCAAAGACATGACAAATAACCTAATTATAGTACCCACCAAAGAGCCCATGGACCCAAGCTTGAGGTTTCAGTGTGTGCAATTCAGACCCTTTTACTGTGAAAGCTGACTATACATTCCTCAAAGGGGCTGATCCTTGAATATAATTCTCAACAAGGACATAGATTCGTCTCAAATCAATGACAAACTGACACGCTGTAAACTGTGAATTAATTAATTGATTTTTTCCTTTTTTGTTGAGCTAGAATCTGATGTGGCGACACAGAAGGGTGATAAAACTAAAGCGAAGCAATCTGACTCATGATGGAGTCTAAGCAGCGGCTTTACAGTTAAGATTTGTGGTTTGATGCGTGTGGGAGTTGATTACTTTTGACATCTGGAAGGCTGTTTGGTGGAGGGGGAGACAAGCAACAACATTAAACAGCCCAACTCAATCATTAATGGCCCTCTCCCTCGGTTTATAAGTACTTCTGTAAGTTCTTTCTAAACCTGGAGGTATGTTTTAATTTTGATGAGTCTTAAGACCTAACTCACCTAAATTTTTTTTTGTATAAAGAAAAACATTAAACAGCCCAACCCAGTCATTAATGGCCCTCCCACTCCCACAAAAAGCAATATCCAGGTTGCGGGTGAAAAATTGCTTCATTTCTACCAATATATTATTATTTATAATCCAAATTAGTTAACTTTTTCTAATATTATTCATATTCACTTAAATAGGTGAGAAAAAAATATAAAACATATATATTTTTAAAAAATATCAATTTAATGCAATTTTTTTGTTTGTGAGCTTGAAGAATAAGCGACTTATAAATAGGAATAGAGTGATTCTTAATTAATTAGATTCCTAAATTTACAGTTCAAATCTTATAAATGATAAAAAGTAGAGTAGTAATAACTACTTCCCCCAACTAATTAAGATATGAAAAATTCATATTAAAAATTTCAGGATAGCAAAATTCAAATGGTTTGCGCAATATTATGGATTAGTTAAGGTCATAGGATAAACATATATATATATATATATATTATGGATTAGTTATGGATTTTTTTTTTCATATTTTTCAAGAATTGTTGTGTGATCATTTTTTTAATAGAAGTAATTAATACATCAATTATGCTCACAGAGGATTAAACATGTAGTTTTCCTTTTAGGAAAGACTTGAAAAAAGGGATCAATGTGGGGGAGGTCAACTTAATGTGTTGACCAGATTAAACAAATGGAAAATTAGTGATTGGGGGGGTTTTCTTTCCTGTATTGTGGCCAATATAATCATTAACGGTTTGATTTTAAGTAGTTGTTCCCTTTGCTTTAAATATTGTAATCATGATTCTGACTTCTGCATACCGCCACGACAGATATATACTCTGTAAAAATGTATAACTTCTTTTTAATTAATTCATTGGAAGCTTCATTAACAAAAAAGAACAAATCTGATAACAAACTTAATTGATGATCCTTTTATTTAATTTCTTGTTCAAACTCCGTTCCTTTAGCCTTTACCATCATTTCTAATAATAATAATAAGGTGGGTCTCTATCAATTAGATCACCTTTTTAATTTGTTAATTCAAATTGAGCCAATCACGTCAAGTTTTTTATTCTCTCAAGAACATGTCAAGGACGGCATATTTTTCTACAATCACGCTTCAATTTTAACCCAATTTTGTGGAAATTATAAATCTATTATCTGTCGAATTCCGCTAATATTAAAAATTAAATTCTGTCGTGGGCTTCCTGGGCCCCACACCACCCTCAGTCCATCATTAGACCCAGTGGTCTGTCTGGCGATAATTGTGAAAAATTAAGAAAAAGCAAAAAGGAAAAAAAAAAAAAAAGTGAATGAGATTGAGAGAGGAGAATGGATGGATTGGGGAATAATAGAGGGGGGAGGGGGAGGGGCATTTCTCTTCTTTTTCTCCTTTCCCCTTTTTGGTTTCCCAGCTGGGATTGAAAATCTGACTGTGAAGGGGGAAAAAAATATATAATAATAGGAGACTAACAGCCATTGTAAACCTCAAATGGATTTTATCAGAATTTAGGGTTTTATAGCCATTAGAAATTGGGGCTTTCACGGCCACAGCATCGCCATCTCCATCAATTAACAGTTTGGAGCTTTCATGGCAACTAGAGGCAGCAGATCAGAGAAGGTCAGGCGAATTTTTCAGCAATTCGACTCCAACCATGACGGGGGTCTCAACAGGGAAGAGATGGCCGCGCTCGTCGTGGCTGTGAACCCGAGGGTCAAGTTCAGTGACGAACAGATAAATGCCATTCTTGACGAAGTCTTCCGCACTTACGGCGAGTTCATCGATGGGGACAAGGGTCTCACCTACGAGGGTTTGTTGCGCACCTACGATGATGGTGCGGGCGATGTCGACAGGGACTTTGATGCGCTTGGGTTGGAGCTCAATTTGGATGATGGACAAGGGGTTCCCATGGCGTCTGAGGCTTCTTCGTCGTCCATTGCGGACGAGAGGGTGGCCGTGGAGACGCAGAAGAAGCAGAGGACTGCTGCGTGGGCCGTCTCGCCCAATCACGGAATTGTCTTTGATGACACCTGGAAGATTGTGGACGATTTGGAAATTCTGATAAAGAGACTGAAAACGAAGCAAGCCAAAGATGGGAAATTAAAAGCGGATAACTTCGATGCGTATTCGGATGCTGGTTGGTCGCGGGAATTGGCGCCCTCCACGGAGATTTCGGACAAGAGAGTTTTCTGGGAGGAGTCTGGGCATGATTATGCAGTATTTCTGAAAGAGTTGGGTGGGCTAAGGGGTCGTGCGGACGGTGCCAGATCCAGAGAAGAGGCTTTTGATGGTCATATGGCTATTGGAAGGGTTCTGTATGAACACCAACTGTTTAAAGAGGCTCTGGTGAGCTTTAAAAGGGCCTGTGAATTGCAACCTGTTGATGTCAGACCACACTTTAGAGCTGGGAATTGCTTGTATGTTCTTGGGAAGTACAAGGAGGCCAAGGAAGAGTTTTTGCTTGCTCTAGAAGCAGCTGAGGCTGGAGGAAACCAATGGTCCTATTTGCTTCCTCAAATATACGTCAATCTGGGGATTGCTCTTGAAGGTGAAGGCATGGTTTTAAGTGCATGTGAGTATTACAGGGAGGCTGCAATTCTTTGTCCGACTCACTTCAGAGCTTTGAAACTTTTAGGTAGTGCCCTTTTTGGCGTAGGGGAATATAGGGCAGCCGTGAAGGCACTGGAAGAGGCCATTTTTATGAAGCCTGACTATGCTGATGCACATTGCGATTTGGCTTCCGCTCTGCATGCCATGGGTGAGGATGAGAGGGCAATCGAGGTATTTCAGAAAGCTATTGATCTGAAACACGGTCACGTGGATGCTTTGTACAATCTAGGTGGGCTCTATATGGACCTTGGTAGGTTCCAGAGGGCTTCTGAGATGTATACTAGAGTTCTAGCTGTGTGGCCGAACCATTGGAGGGCGCAGCTAAACAAGGCAGTATCTTTACTTGGAGCTGGAGAGACTGAAGAAGCTAAAAAAGCTTTGAAGGAAGCATTAAAAATGACAAATAGAGTTGAATTGCACGATGCGATTTCACATCTGAAGCAGCTGCAGAAAAAGAAGACGAAACCTAATGGGGATGCGTCTGGAGATGTGGCATTTATCCTTGTTGAAGCCTCAAAGTTTAAGGTAGTAGGAGAAAAGACTACTGTGAGACAGGAACTAACCAATGCATTACAAATTAGAGCATTTCAGAGGGTTACGAGGTTGAGTCGTTGCAATGTAGAGCTTCTGAAGAAGGAAATGAGTCAACATGATGTGCCAGTGTCCTATTCTGGTAGCGGCATCCCTGAAAAATCCATACGTAAGCCAAATCTGGAAGAAATACTTCGCAGGTTACTTAATTTCCTGAAGCCTGAGACGTTTCAAGGTGCAGTCAAAGCCATCAATGAGAGGATTCTTTCAGTTTTGGATGACAATGGTTCGGGCAGGGTGGATGTGGGCATGTTTTATGCTATTCTTGCTCCAATTTGTGGTGGTCCACCAGACAGGCGCAAAAGGATTGCCTTTGATGCACTTCTGTGGCGTCCTATGAATGAAAGTGGTGCTCAAATTAAGAAAGCTGATGCTAATAGATACATCAAATTGTTGAGGGCTATTTATGTTCCTTCCCACGGTGTTAGTGAATTGATGGAAGTTCATGGAGAATCTGATGCTTCACTGGTGTCATTCTCTGAGTTTCTTGTCATGTTTGATGATCCCGATTGGGGTTTTGGTATCATGCCTACACTATTGAAGCTCGAAACAGGGGATAGAAAGCGCCATGGCAATTATGTGTGCTCAGTTTGTCGCTACCCTATAATTGGTTCCCGCTTCAAGGAAATCAAATGCCACTTCAGTTTGTGTAACCAATGCTACAGTGAAGGGAAGGTGCCTTCTACGTATAAGCAAGAAGAATTCAAGTTTAAAGAGTATGGAAGTGAGGATAAGTGTACTTGCTTTAATTTGCAATCCCATAATCAACAGTAGGTAGATGACTGAAGCTTATTTTGTCTTTTCATTTTTTCAACTCTGTATTATCCCAATATGCTATTCCAGTTTTCCGGTGTGAGATATTTAGCTCGTGGGTCCATGCTTAACTGGGCAATTTGCCCTCTGTACAATAAATTGTTTCAGGTGTTGGTTTAGTATCTCTGTTTATAGACATTGTAAAATCTTTTACCTATCTCAGTTCTTTTAACTTTTGAGCGATCATTGTCTTAACTATTGCTGGCGTGTATAAAGAAAGCTAAGACTTTCGGCATGGAAGCCTTTAATTTCATTGCAGAGTGTGTTTCCACTGTATGTCTAGGGCTTAATGGGGATGATAAGTTGTACGATTTAGCCCCCCCCCCCTTTTTTCCCAGACATGACTATGGCCCGAAATTCGACCTCAGAATTGAAGTCGGATGCCATCATTATTTTGTTGTTGACGATTCTTAGGGAAGGAATGACTTCCAGTGAACTGTTTCTGAAGAAGTTTAGAGACTAAAATTCTGTTTTGTATTATAAACTTGGAAGGGTGGATACTGATATGAACATGGACCCTTTGGTGCGACGCAATTTGGGGTGTTTACATGGTGTTGTATTTACTGAGAATGTTTCTCATTTCCTTGAGTGTTTGCATGTCAACGATTGTAACCAAGTGCATTCCTGCATTTTCCAGAGATGTCCAGTTTGATAAATTGAAAGTTCAAGGGAAACTAAGTATACCTTGATTCAAACATCTGTACAGTTTTGGCTAGTTTAATCTGTTGTTGAAAGCAACATTTCTCTTTTATTATCCCTTTCAGTTCAATAGGATGGTGGAAATAATGAAAAGGACGTCTTCCGGGAATTTTCCGGAATGCAAGAGTCCATGAAAACAAATAAAGTATCCGGTTATTTTCGTGAGCTATGATTATATAATCAATGGACTTCATTTTCTGATTCCCTGTTCGCATGTGAGGGATGGCTTTTCTTCTATCTGGGAAAAGTTTCAAACTAATGATGAATGGTGGTGGTTAAGTTTGTTTTTATTCCTTATTTTCCCTTGTGAGGGATTGGATGTTGCTTGAGTTGACATTAGACCTCAAGCTGATGGGACATGAGATTACGCACGTTAGGTGCCAAACGATTGTGAAGAGTGAATGCTCGGTTGGCTCTTGATATTAATCTGTGTTGTTCACTGATCATCTGTTGAAATGGTAGGAGGTTGATTCTAGTAAGCGAGCACGCTCTAATTTCTTTTGCAAATGCCAATGACCACATTTGTTTTCATCTGTCATCACCTGGGACTTGCGTATCTTGAACTTTTCTTTTGTGGGTGGAGGTTTATTAATGGTTTGATTTAATTTAATGCTTGGAGAGACTGTTGCAAACTACTAAAAAAGACCAGCTGAGGGATGACAATGCCAGAGGGAACCTGCCATCCCATGAAGCCATATCATTTCCGAACAACTGGTAGATGAAGAATAACCATATAAACTTGACAAAACTATATGATACATCTATACATTGATTTTTAACTAACTAAATTTACTTTTCAAAATCAAGTTTACTTCGGAATGTCTTGAGGAGACAACACCATGGAACAAATTAAAGTAGGTTGGTGAATCACAAGGGCTTGTCATGCAACAATATTATCATCATCACAAGGTTGAAGTTTAAATGAAATAGACGATGAAACTAGGGCATTGTATCAAATAGATATGATAATACTTGAATTCCACCAAATATCAGAAATGTTGATGTGCTTGTGGTTGCATCAATATTATGCTAATTGAGGCATTGAACTGCCTCAAGAGCAGAGGCTTTGGCATGGAGGACTCTAGACTTAATGTATCCTTAAAATAGTCCTCTCTAATGGCTCATATGATTTTATGGCTTTTTGAGTCTTTTTTTTTTTTTTTGAAGTCGCCAAATGATTACGATTAGTAATTAATATCTTGTGTGACATGGAATTAAAAGTTAGCTACATTGTCAATTACTTAAAAGTAGTATAGCTTTTATAATTTTTACACAATACCTCTGATATTGATATTCAATATACATGATAAAAATGAAATAACTTCAGCACATTCGAAACTCGTTTGTAGCTGAAGGGCGTCAATATCAAGATTCTTGTATTTTGTTAAACAGCTTGCTACCAACATCCGTTGTAGTCTAGTTGGTTAGGATACTCGGCTCTCACCCGAGAGACCCGGGTTCGATTCCCGGCAACGGAAAATGTCTTTTGTTTTCGCTTGCACTTTTAACCGCCCCAAGCGACTGTGTTCCCGCCATCTCCCAACTGTGTAAATACATGTACAACGTGTCCAGCTTACAACGTTGACATCTTCGGTATTTTAATTAATTTCTTAGCTTTGGGCAAAGAGAAAAAAAAAATTAATTTCTTAGCGTTCTTTAGAAGAGAATAGTTTATGCTCATGGGAGGGAGCTTTCTAAAACAATTTTTTCTCAGTTGATATCACATTTGCAGTGGACACATCCTAAGTAGAGGCAACTTGTGTGTTATAGGCGTTGAGGCAACTAACAACTGGTCACACAGCGACAGAGTGAGAAAATTCATGTCATAAAGTGCTAATCTAAGAAAATTCATTTCATAACGTACTAATCTGTGAAGGGGCCTAGCCAAAACTCAGCATTTTCCTCCCCACCCAATTACCTATTAGCGCAGCAAAGCGAGATGCTTCTATCCATATGATCAAATCCTGTACGCTAATTTCATCAAAAGAATTAAAGAACCTTCATAGATGTAAAATCTTACTCATCTCTGTCCTCAAAAAAGGTAATGCGAGTTAATCGGGGAACAAAAAAACACCATCAGCTTTTGGTACTTAGGTAATCGATTGAAAGCATGGTGCCACAATTGAAATTGAGCTACCCCTCCCATTCACTCTTGTCACTTGGGAACTGCCTCCTTTCTATTTGTTCAATTTCTATGCTTCATGCTTGACAAGGGCAGTAATCTTTTACGTGCAAATGCAGGAAATATTTGTTATAGAGACGTGAAAAGCATGTAAGAACACAAATTAGCATAACTGTTGCAAAAAAGGGTAAGGACATAGGTTTATGCTAATACATTGTTTCCTACCACCAACACATTTCAATTTCCTATTATATATTCATAGAATAAAGGAAGGGAGATGCAATATATACTTCTGTTTTTCACAAAATTTTAATCCCAATTGTCAAATAAACCGCACTTACTCACTTGTTTCAAATATCTATACACACAGACATAACATACCTGAACTCTTTTCAAAGGAAGCTAACATAAGATTACAACGGCAGATAAACAGATTAGGAGATATCTACAAGCAGTTGTATCACCTAGGGAAAGAAACCAAACACGGAAAAAGACGATTACTGAATCTCAATGGCAAGAACAGATAGTGTTTCATATTCTCAACCATTTGCTACGCAATATCTATTGTGTTATATCCCTATTAGAAAGATACAATGATCATCTTCATTCACATTACTTCTCCTTTTCCTTTTCTACCCAGTGAACAAACATCCTAGAGTTCATAAAACAGAACTCTTGCACAATGCTCGCAAGTCCAAAGAGCAGTTTAATTAAGCTGTTTGGAAGTTTTCCCCTTTCAAAGCCTATTAGCAAATTTGCATGGATTTTTCGAACTACATAGAGACTCGTGGTTGAGCCCAAGATACATTGAACTGTACAAATTTAATGAACTCAAATCCAACTCAGGTGCCCTGGACTAGCATGGGAAGACAATGTAATACAAACCGGTATAAGCACTAAATCTTGAGATTCATGTCCATAAAACGAAAGTCAAAAGCCAACGATAACATTCTCGAATTTTGTATATTTTCAAATGCAGAATTTGTGCTGTGAAATTCGACATTAAGCAAGGAATTTTAACCCAGTATGAAACATCATAATCAGCATTCTCAAAATTCAGCTCTCAAGCTCCTAAACGAAATTTCAAAATCAACGGCACATTTATTCAAAGCTACCACCCGATAAAAGCCCAGCAGAAACCGGAGTCTTCTGAGAAACAAAAGTAGAAGTTCGCTTCCCTATGTGCCGACCGAAGACTTTAATTGAGAGCCGGAGCCGACGGTGTTCCCAGCAGAGTCGCCTGCTGCGAGTCGAGGTCATTGAGCTGCTGCTCTCGGTCCATCTCGACTATGAGAGGGAGGAAGAGAACGAGGAAGGAGGTTCCGGCGATCCAAGCAGCCTTGCCGGTGCTGCGGATGAGCTTCTTGGTGATGAATGCAGTGTCCGACGCAGCTTGCTTGCCGCTCTGAACAATAGAGGACTGCGAAATCCTAGAGAGCACTATATATATAACAAATATATATTTTTATCCATCTCTACCAACTATATGGAATCTCCTACCATCAAATAAAGTCATCGAATACTTGTAAATACCTGTTGCCATCTTTGACAATCTGAAGCAGCGATTTTGAAATTGCGAAATAAAGTGGCAGGATTCTTGGTTCTTGCCACAGAAATGATCGCCAGAAGAAATAACTGTTGCGCACCAAACGATCTGAGTAAAACCCTATATCTTTAAATCTTTCCGAGCACTAAATATAATAATTAATTAATAAATATTAAGCAAGCAAACCTTATTACATTGTTTGTATATTACTCTTAGTCCTTAATATTAGATTGAATTGTTAAGTTAATTTTGTTTCTAAATATAAAGGCATGTTTGGCTTTTTTTTCAAACCATGATTTGAGAAAAAATTTGCTAAACACCCTTTTTTTTTTTTAAACCAAAGTTTCTGGCAAAACATTGGTTTTGGCCCAGAAAACCTTGGTTTGGGAATAAGCATGCGGGGGTTTGCTTTTGAGGCAGAAAAGTGGTCGTTGTCAGAGGCTCCAACAGTGCACAAGCAGCAATTCTATTTTCTACAAATAAAAATACAGCAACAAAAGAGGAAGGCTTGCGAAAAAGATATGCATAACTTCGAAGAAGCATGATCGCTATCAAAGTTTTGCCAGAACCAGTCTCTTGAGTACACAATGGCAAAATAAATTATTTTACAAAAAGCATATTTAATTATTTTATTAATATTTATACGTATTAATTTTTTTATTTATATTATTTATGCCTTATTTATTATGTTGTCAAAATATATATTATTAACAAATTTATTACTTCAAATAAACATATATTATGAAATATATCTTATATGTAATTATCATTTAAACTTATGTCCTCTTTAGTAATTTTTATATATAAAAAAGCACTTCTGACAACAACTATCCAAACACTTTCACTTTATCAGAATCACTTTTTCAGAAAATCTATTCTTTCAAAATCTATTCTCTCCAGAATCTATTCTTCAAAAGCTATTCTCCAAACCGTGGTTTGCCTTCATCCAAACACCCCCTAAGACTTCTTGTATTTATCATTTTTTTCTAAATTACTCATATAGGCTATAGATACTCCCTTTATCATAATCAAATAGAAGAACGAGAGGATATTAAAAAAGATGATTATGATATTTTAGAAAAAACATATTTTTTATAATTAACTAACTTACCCAACTTTCTTAATCTACTCAAATTAGTTAAATAAGTTTTATATTAAGAACGGAAGAGTATATTATAACTACTCTTGTTGAACTGATGTGTTTTTCCATATGATTTGGGGAAAATTAATCTTTTGGTCCCCATAGTTTTCACTCATTTGTAACTCAGTCCCTATACTTTGACTCGGTGCAACTCAGTCCTTCTAGTTTTGACTCGGTTGTAACTCAGTCCTTGAAGTTTGACTCACTGCAACTCAGTCTCTATAGTTTTAACCATTTTATAATTTAGTCTCTCCTTTTATTAGATATATAATTTTATTTTTCAAAAACACAAATTATAAAATATACAAAACTATAGGGACTGAGTTACAGTGAGTCAAATTTCAAGGACTGAGTTACAACCGAGTCAAAACTAGAGAGACTGAGTTGCACCGAGTCAAAGTATAAGAACTGAGTTACAAATGAGTGAAAACTATAGGGACTAAAAGATTAATTTTCCCTATGATTTGGTAAGTTTTGTGCGCGTTAGGTTACACCTCCAGGTTGATTTAGGCTACTGCTGTTTACATCTATGTTTTTACGATTAATAACATTGACTTATTCTTTGGGCAAAAAAAAGATTACGCATGATTTGATCCAAAAGGAAATGAAGTTGATACATAAGTGATCCAATTTAAAATTAATTAGCAAGTCAATACCCCTATACAGCCCCTTGGCATAAACGAGTTTGAATTTTCCTCACACCAATACATTTATGTTGTTGCATCATGGAAGTCCTTCGAATCCTTAAAAAAAGTGGTGCAGAAGTCTACAATTATGGCTATAAAATAGTAAAATACTTCCTCCAAAATAGGATAAGTAAAAGGGAATGGAGGACATATAAATTACTCCTCCGGTCCTAATTATAAGACCCAATTGACTTATTTGAGGAGATTAAGGAAGTAAGTTAAGTTGGTTATTTATAATAAATAAGTGTTGTTATTCCTAAAATATCCTTGCTAATTAAGTATATTGGCTAAAACTATCATTATTAGAAGGATTATCTTGAAAAAAAATGCATAAATATAAGAGAAAAAATGAATTGGGTCTTATAATTAGGACCAAATAAAAAATCAAATTGGGTCTTATAATAAGGACCGGAGGAGTATATAGATATGATTGTTAGCCAAAAAATGCATGAAGATATTATAGACATACAAGTACACCCTTGATTTAAAATACTATGAATGTATCAAATTAGATTGGAATTAACAATAAGTAAATAAATACCTAATTAGATTTTTGTGATATTACCTAAAGATACAAGATTATAAGCTTCCCATGTAAAATGTGTGTAGTTTTACTTATAATTATGTGTTTATCAATTGTACATTGCATTTAGATATACCAAAAAGTTCATACTCCCTGATGTTTGTGACTTAGCAAGGAGCAGCTGACAGTGCCAATCACAATGAAAAAGGAGAACCCCCCATGGGCTCATGGCACATGAAAGAGACCTTGAGAATATGATCCATTGCCTGCACGAACCAGTCATTACTCAACAAGAACAAAATCCCTCTTTATATATTCTAAGCCTGAGAACGGTAAGTTCATGACTTGTTCCAGTTCAAGTGATTTGTTCATGAGAGTGCGCACAACCAAATCCTTGTGATCATACTCACCCTTCACTCCAAATCCTCTACACACGACCAGAGACGTATTTAGGACCCAAGGAACAGCAACAGCAAAAGCAATACCAGAATCTTTTCTTCCTTCATACGAGATTGCTCCCAAAAGCCCATCCTTGTATGCTTGGCAAACTCGAGCTACATACTTTCCCATAGTTAAAATTGGCTCAAAAATCGATGAAGTAGATCCACCAAGGTTTGATAAATCAGTGTCTGAATGCAGATTCACTACGACAGTGCCATGTTCAGGATGAAGTCGGCTGCTAAGTGCTTTGAGAAATGGAGACTCTGAGTCCCATAACTTGTGAGGGAAGATATCATCACCATCATAAGCATCGATGAAGACCATATCATATACATTAGTATTATCGATGACAAATTTCTCAGCATCTGATTCATAGAGATAAAGCCTCTCGTGGATGCCTTTCCACATAACTTCATCTATAGGGCTAGGCTTTGCGAGCCGGTCAGCTGACTGTGTCACAACTGAGAAAGCTGGAAAACCCATAGCTCGGATTGAAGCTGAGATAACCAGGGGGTCAATTTCAGCAATGTGAATAATAGCGCCTGGAAAATATAAGCACAGTGCACATGGATCAGGTAGTGTTAAAAATTTGCCAATCTGAGCAAAGAAGAAAAAACACCATTGCCAATCAAAGCAAAGAAGAAAAACGCCATGAAAAGTCTGCCAAAAGCATGCAGTAGAAGTAGAAACATTAGACCTCTGTCGCCTTGCATACGTAATAAGAATTAGTCTGTGCAACAGAAAACAGAGCCAGCGGTAGAGAGAAAGATATTGCTTAAAAAAAAAAAAAAAACCAACTCCATGAAGGACTTGATAAATATGCATTCGTTTAGGTTGCAGAAACCAGTATAGGCTCATGCTACGATATGTGTTTCCTCTTGCCGGTTTAATTCTGATTACATTGTTGCTAGATTGCCATTCTGTAACCTACTGCATATAAATCACCCTCCACTCATTACAATAATTCTTCTTACTCTTTTTTTTTTTTTTTTTTGCCCTTTTCTGTTTTCTTTTTGTTATGTGTTATTTTATGTAAATTTTCCCCATCATACTGAAAGCTCCAGAAAGGAATGAAAATCAGTTATTTGAGATGCCAAGATGCTGCTGCTACAAACCAACACAAACCATGTAAGTTCAACAATTTCACCTTGAATTTTACTCGCCAAAAAAAGTGGTAAACTGCCACCACCATGCCCGATGCATAAAATGTGCATGGGTTTCTTTCCTTGCAATGCACTGACAATGTCATAGTTACATGATGCTATAGTAGCGAGCCCAACTGATATCATGCTCCTCAGATCTGCAAGATGACCAGAGAATCAGTTTTCCCCAGCTTGCATGCTGGAGCCAACCAACAGAAAACAGGTATTAAACATCTAGAAAATTCCCACCGGCACAACCTAAGAACAGAAGTCTTTTCCTAGCGAACATGTTGGATTGCTCTGGTTAGATACTTGAGCCTCAAATATGTTAACTTGTTATTAATCCGAGAAGATGTCAACAAATGATATATATCTCCATTGTTTATTTTTTTCCTTGCATAAGACAACAGTTAATAACATACATGGAACAGCCAAACAATGTGGTTGCTGCATAAGATAGATGGAATCTGGCTTCTTTTCCTGGTAAGCGGCCATTACTTTTACAGCACTTTGGCGAGTATCATCGTTGAAACGAAGCACCCTCCATTGATATCCTAGTATCCTTAAATGTTGTCGACAGTCATAAGCTGGATGTATCTCCTCATACCCACAATTCAGCCAACTTTCTATTTCTGACCAGAAAACTTTACTCTGTACAAAGTAATTCAAGTTTCTTGTTGAGGCACGTGATGCATATGATGCCAATTGATATTGAGGAAGGAAAATGTTAAAACTGCTGTAAGACAATGATTGATAAATCAGGAAGAAAAGTGGAACTAAATGTTACCCCAGAAAAAAAGGAGGGGAACCAGAAGTTGCGAGGAAAACAGTGTGTTTATACAGATAATAGCTATCCAGCATTCGAGTATGACGGGCACATATATGTAACTTTGCTAATAAAGAACAAGGCATAGTAGAAGACTCACTTCTCACAACTCTCAGTATTAGGGGACCAAACCAAGACAGCTTATTGACGCACATTTTTTAATTAAAGCAATAGTCAGGCGAAATTTTAACCAAAACATTTCTCCTTACGCCCAATCTAACACAAAGAAAAACAAAATCATTGACTTTCTCATGTTTTAAAAATTATATTACAATAAAATTTCTAGTAAATTGATGCTGCAACAGGGTATGTATGAGAAAGAAAAATCTTTTATCTATATTCACATATGCCGGGGGAGGGGGGAACTTATCAAAAGATAATTAGAAATCAAAAGACAGTAAAACCAGAGAATCCCTAAGGTCAGTAAAGTAAAGCAAATGTCATATATGTCACAGTCTTCTTCGTACGAGTTTCAGAGACTGATGAGCCCCAGGATCATATCAAAAGACTAGAGCTTTGACATGGACTCAGGCTCAACGTGAGGAGAAGGCAAGCAAGGGGCTGATTCGTTGGGTGTTATCTACGGAAACTCAAATTCCATTTAGCCGGCGACATTGCATACCAGCAAAATCCAATTTCTTGCATCAAAAGAACACATTCTTAAAATGTTAAACGTGCGTAAACTTTGGCCAAAACACATAAACGCGCACACGCATATAACGGGGGGTAAATGAGGCAGAGAGATACTAACAGGTCTGGAGGAGGGGTAGGCAAGGACAGAAACAACACCGTTTCCTTTGCCGGAAGTTGCTCGGAGAATGGTTGCACCCCGGGATTCCGTGCCCCACCACTCGGACGAGTAAGACCAGTCACCTTCGTCCTCTACATGCCGCCGCAGAGCCGTCGAAAACCGACGAAGCCAAGTTGTTTTGCAGCGCCACATGTTGACTCAATTTTGAATTTTTAAGGGGAAGGGAACTAAAACCCTCCCTTCCCCGTCAAAATAATAATGATAGCAATAATAATAGTAATATCAAACCCCCTCTTCGCAGTTTTCGTTTCCCACATCTCACATTACGCATCTCATTCATATGAATCATGAAAATACCTCAGTTTCATATTATTTCGACTTAAAATTTATTTTTTTCTATAAAAAAGATCAAAGAGAGCCGATAGAAAAGCACTCACCTTGCAACACTCCTAATAAAAAAATCCTTTTGCCAAATTAATTTTTGGTAGACTATTGCATGGGGTTTTACAAACTCATTCAGAAAAGTGGAAGCTCGTTTTTGAAAGGCATTGCTTATTAATAAGTAGCTTATTAGTCTGGCAAATGTTCTTTTAAATAAATTAAATATTAAATCAGGTTAAAATTACATATTTATTCCTGAAAGTTTGCCCATACTTAAAGGTTTTTTTTATAATCAATTTGTCTTGAAAGTTTAGAGTTAAAATCATAACAATATGATCTCCTACTATTAAAAAATAAAGGTTGACGATTAAATTAATAATGTTAAAATTTTAATTGTAATATTGTTACAATTTTAAACTTTTAAAATAAATTTGCCAAAAAAAAATGTTAGGTGCACCCTGAAAAAATTTTACACCATAATCCAATTAAATATATCTTTTTTATTGTGACAAAATTAAATATATGCTTAATAAACAAGTGAGAAGCGCATATGTTGATCATAAATTTATTTAATACTACTCCTCTACTTCATAAATCATAATATAAAATGTTAGTTAAAAAAATTGTGGTTCAAAATATAAAATGTTATCAAGATAATTAATATGATTTTTTTTTTACTTTTACTCATATTAAATATAAAAGAGAGATGAAAAATAATAAAAATATAATATTGAAGATAATTTTATCTTTTTTTTATCATTTTAGAATAAATTTACTCAATTGACTGAGCTTCCATTTTCATGTTTTTGGCAGAGTCAATCAATTGACCTTTTTTTGGCCCAAAAAAAATCAATTGACCTTTTTGTTTGATAGTGCTGACTTTTGTAGCCGGTGAAACTCCTAGGATGTGAAAGGCTGTTCGTCCCCTTCTCTTCGGTTCGGCGGCGATTTGCTGTTTTTGAAATTTGAAGTAGCTAGCCTTTGCTCTGATCTTTAAAAGCATCTCGTGGGCCGGGGCGAAAATGTCGTCCGACAGTGAACGCTGATTAAAAAGGAGAGAGAAAAGTTTAAAATCAAAACGGAAGAAGGCGAGAAAGAGGCGTTGACCATGGTTCAATTTCGGAGGCGTATTCGAGCGGAAATCTTCAGATGCCAAAAAGCCATGTTCACTGGAGCCCACGACCTTTCCCACTATTTCAAAATTTCATGAACATCGTTTCACCACAACGCCGAACCTCACGATTCCTTGCTTGTTCCTGTTTCATACTCCGTGTTAATCAGCGAAACCCAGGGCAACTAGTTTCCATCAGCAGCCAACACGCTTGCCTCCGTCGGTTTTTCTTCAAGATTTCGTCCAAAAACAAGTGGGTTTTGAATTTGTTCTTCTTTTGTACGCTGTGTGTTTTTCTTATCGCCTTTTGACCCTGTTAATTTGGCTAAGTAGCTGACTGGGAATTGGGTGGTGTTTTTCTTTTCTTTCTAATTTGCAGTGTATCCAAAGGTGAAGGTCAGACAAGAACAATACCAAGATGATCACCGAGTAATACAGGACAATAATTTGAAAGCTTTGCAGTCTTTATCGTTGCGGGTTTCTCCTCCTCCAGGTAATTTCCAGGTCAAGGAACTATTGTTAAATATTCGTCATCGTCGAGTTTATCCCCGGGGGGGGGGGGGTAAGAATTCTTTGCTTGTATACACAAATCTCCTCGTAGCTTGCTCGAGCAAAGAGAGTTATCATCTTTACAGGCATAAAAAGTATATATCGAGCTTATCCTGGACATGTATGGGGGGAAAAAAGCCTTTTTAAAGACAAAATCCACGTCCATAATCTCTACGTCTCAAAAAGAATTAGTCTTTAGTTATGGCTTGGGGATACCTTAGTGCACCCCCAAAAAAGGAAAAAAGGTCAAGCTTCATATGGATTTACCTGATTCTTTCACGGCTCGCTGTTAAGTCTGTTAGGGAGAAATCTTATATAGGAACAATCAAATGATTTTCTTGTAGCTCGTTTATCGGCGTTATCTGGTTACTTTTTCCCATACTCAGCATATCAAAGAACTTATCAGGGAATGGACGTCAACGGAGAAATTTATATGTCATATAGCCCTGCTTATAGTCCTGCTTCTCAACCTTTGATCTGAATTTCTTGCATCCCCTCCGGCGAAAAAAGAAAAAAGAAGAAGAATATCTTGCATCCCCTGATCTTCCTTCCTTTTACTAGTGACTTAGAATATTTTTGCCACTGCTATTCATGCGTAGCAGAGGAACCCTGTGGTACCCCATATGCAGCTAATTAAAACATGCATCAATTCTTTTGGCATAGGCAGTACTTGGGCCTCTCTTATCATGCGAAGCTCTGAAAATGAAATCCATCACATTCAAAGACTTTCTGTGGCTTGACTGAGTAATTGAATGTGCGCCGATGGCCCTACGGTTGTTCTATAATTTGTTCTTGTTCTTTTCGCTCTAGAATCAGGAGAACGAAACTTGAAGCAATAATGGGTTGGCCATCTCACTAGACATGGCTAATTTTCATTAATATGAAGCAAAGCATGCAGCTTTCATATTCATCCCCCTCCCTTGGGGCTATTTATCACAGTCAGATCTTACCTTTCCTTTCAGCGGAGTTTGAATCAGGGAGAGCGTGATATTCTTATCTGCATGAAAGCAATCTTGACAACCTTTTTGGTTAAACTTATTTTTAGGATGAGTACAATCTAGTTAGCCCTAAGTTTAGTAGGGGAAAAATGGAGTCATGTCCTTCTCATTCTTGGAACCAAAATATTGACCAGTTGTCAGCAGTATTGGAGTCACCATTTTTCTTATATTGCAGTGAGGAACCAGAAAGGTGTCTCTCATCCATCCTTTACCGAAGTACCTAAATGTTATGTTTTACATGCACCTATTCCAAAAGTACCTGTTTCTGAAGATTTAGGAGCCTGTAATTTGACATCAGATTCTTCAGGACCTACGGGAGCTGAGAAGGATGACAATATTGATGAGGACAGAGTAAATATCAGAGCCAGTTCAATTCCACCTCCTCGCGCTGTTATATCTAGTCCAGGTAACTGTGCTTTTTAATCTATTCAATTACCTTTTGTCATCTATAATCTTAGCTTCATGATCTCTTTGGATTTCATTGGATGTAGCTATAAGCTTGAGTGAAGTGATATCTGATAAGAAGTTTTGTGGAAATATCAGGAAACAAAAGGAATTTTATAGGTCACGAGAGTCCCTGTCAGTTATGTTATGAATTCTATAATCTGTGTATTTGAACATGCAGGCAAGTTCAAATTCATTATACGTTCTTTGACATTACCTAACTCACGTCCTTGGGATTTTGTATCAGATATGACACCATGATTGGGAATAAAAATCGGATTAAAGGCAGGGAAAGACTTCCAGGTTCAAAGAACTGTGGAGTGCCGCAAAATAGACATGCAATCTGTAAGGTTAAAACAAGCAACGGTACTGAAAATTCCCGAAACATGAGAAAACCCAAGGAAGCTGCAGATAAATCAAGTAATTTTACTGATTCTGTACAAAAGAGAAGGCCAACCAAGTCAGCATCAAATCAAGAAAACTAATCACCCGAAGAAGTGGGAGTTCTAGCTCCACTACACTGTTGGAGCATGCCTGTGTTTATCTGATTTTGAAAATGAACAGTGCGAATCTGACATGGGTTACTTGTAAAATGCTGCAATCAAAAAGTTTTACTGGCCTATTATAATCCTTCAAATGCATGGGTTCAGGATGATTGAGAAAATGCTCGACATATAATGTGCCAGCCCAGTGGTGGTGGAATGTGGGTGCTGCAAGGTAAACCTGTGTAAGGGGCATCGAGATTATGAATTTGATTGCTTATGTAGTTGTCTGGTTCAATTATCAGTTCCAGTTACAGATGAAACAGGTTCTTGGATTTGACTAGAGTATAATTTCAGGCATGCTGCTCAACTTAATTTATGTCGTAGTCGATACGTTTTTTCGCTTATAAACTATGATAAATTACTCGTGCGATGCGTAGGAAGGAACATTTGAGATAAAGAAATGTTTTATCATTTAGTTCCAAGTAATTCAGATAAGGAGAATTATTAAGAAGTCCTAAATAACAAGTAAGTTTTTAGAAGTCATTTTTAACATATTTTATACAGACTAGGAAAATTTTTATACTTCATTAAACTCTCATTTAAAATTTAATAATCTTTCAATTTTATCTTTATTTAATATGTATTATATCTTATATAAACAAAGTCAATAATAAATTAAAGGTGAAATTGTATATTTATACAAAAAAATTTTCTCAGTGTCCTTATAAATAAAATTAAAAAATATCTTTTTTTTGTCATATAAATAGGACCAGAGGAGTAATTACTGAAAAATCTCAGTGACAATATGAACAACTTGTAATGATAAGTTTCAGGATAATAAATGACAATTGCTTGTTTGTTATTAGGATTTATTGATAATTATTTTTATCTTGGAATCTTATTATAATCCACCCATTTAAATATAAATTCATAATAATTCAAATAATTAAACATCAGCAACCAAATCATGCAACTCATGAAATTGTGGCAGTGAGTCACACGAACTACTAATCTTGTTTGACTTTTATATCATTTGCTTATGATCTGTTGAACATCTCCAAGTTTCAACAATAAACTCATATGTACCGATCGGGGTTGGTCTAAGTGACAAGCGGTTTGGTACTGCTTAAACAAGGTCTCGAGTTCGAGTCTCAGTGTATGCAGAAATCTCCGTTAGGAGACTCACTCACCACAATCAGGTGCGCGACGCGGTTGGATCCAGATGTAGTCGAAGCAAAGTTCCGGTGAACTGGTGGGCAACCAAAAAAAAACAATAAACTCATATGTGAGTCCTATTTTTTTCCTTTTTTTTTGGCGATCGATCTGAGTTCGAATCACTAACTCCATCTGCAGATCATAAATTCCTAAGAAATGATGCGGTTGCTTATCTATTTTATTTCAAAATCATACCATGTCCGCTTCACATTTGATATATATATATAATTATATATATATTTTTACAAATTATTTAATTAATGATATAAATTGATCTTTTGCAGCAAAAAAATGTAATTAATGAATACATAAAATGATAGTTAAATTAAAATTAAAAGACTTATTTCAAAAAGAGATTGTAATCAGGTACAAGAAAATATAATTAATGAAAACATATGAATTGTCAACCTATGCGTTACAATATTAATTAAATTAATATGGCGTCATTTAAATTAAATACAGTTATCTTATGGCCGTCATTTAAATTAAATACAGTTATCTTATCCAGACATATTCTTCCAATTTCATTGGACACAATTTGCCCACGTCAGCCTGAGAAGCTTACACTATCCATACTTTTTCTCTCTCTCATGGAACTGAAAAAGCTGCCATCTTCCACAACAGCACCATCATCATCCGCCACCTTCACCTTCACCTTCACCTTTCGCCACCAACCATGGCAGCTTCTGCAGCGGCGGCTATAGGCTCCTCATTCTCTTCCTCCATCAACACTCTCAAGTGCCTTCGTTCATCCAAGAACTTGCCCTCTGAACCCCTTCTAAGAATTTCATCAAACCGCGTGTTAGCGTCGGTGTCACTATCGCACTTGGTGGAACCACTTTCCTTTGATACCAATGTCAACAAGTTGTGGGTTTCAAGGGTTTCGACACAAGAAGAGCTTGTAGTGGTTGATGAGATTGATGCTGGTTTAGTTGAAGAGAACAAGGAGGGAGAAGAGGAAGTGGTAGAGGAAGGAGAGGCTGAAGAAGGCTCTGTCAACACGAAGCTTTATTTTGGAAACTTGCCTTACAGTGTTGATAGTGCACAACTTGCAGCGATTATTCAGGATTATGGTAGCCCAGAACTCATTGAGGTATCTATTATGGATTTATTTGAACTAGAGATCGGTATACCAAGTGCGAGCTTCTTTTGATGGATTTTAGTACTTATTTGATGATGCTGTATTACTTTGATGAACATAGTTATTTGACGAATGGATGACAAAGCCGGAAACACAATGGAGTGTTATATGCAAAGGTCCTTATTAAAAGATCAGTGGCCTGCCCTTGTAATGAGAAAACAAATTTACAATTACATTCTTTATCCTATTGTATGTGGGTGTATTTCAGTAGGACAATAATGGGTAGATAACTTTATAAGTTATTCATTACAATGTGTAATTTGACATTCAGTTGTATTCTCCCATTAACTTAAACACATAGCTTCTGCAGTTCCCACAGACTGTGTCGTTTTTCGTTATATATGATAGGGTGATCATGAATTTTTAGTTGAAAGGAGGAGTTATCTTTCTAGCATAGCGTTCTTTTTCTTTGATGCCGTGGGCGTTTAATTTTGTCTTCTAACATCATTGCCTTCCAAGGCTGCAAAATTTAATGCATTAGCTTGAATGGATTCGTCCTTTGATGTTTTTCTTTAGAAGACAGGACTGAAGATTAATTAGCAAATATTGGCCATTATCATCCCTGAGACTCAGATGATTAACTTGTAAAACCTTCACACCCATCCAACTTCTAGCAGAACATACTAACTTACTTAGGCTTGCTAAAAGAATAAACTGACCATCAGAATGCTTTAAGAAGAATGGTCATAATTAGGAAATTAGTTGCTATAAATATTGTTTACTTGATCAAATAAAAACACAAATAAGGAAATTTTCTGCCATTGCTGGGTTTTATATTATCATTTTGATAGTTTTTTAACAGCATTATCATGATGGAATTTTCAAATGGGAGTCTAAAATCCTGCATTAGTGGCAATAATTTCTCAAACTTGCAAGTCTTTCTAATCCAACTTGAAAATCACATAGGTTCTTTACAACAGAGAGACTGGAAAAAGCAGAGGTTTTGCATTTGTTACAATGAGCAGTGTCGAAGATTGCAATGCAGTGATAGAAAACCTTGATGGAACTGTAAGTATATCTCAAACTCTCTAAACTCCTCTTTTGTCCAATGTTTCCACTTGTGCAATGTTCAGCTAGTTCTCCTTATTTAACCGTTCACTTACTAAATGTTGTGAATGAACATCTCAGGAATTCCTGGGTCGAAGCCTGCGAGTGAACTTCTCTGACAAACCTAAACCAAAACTGCCCTTGTATCCTGAAACTGAACACAAGCTTTTTGTTGGGAACTTGTCATGGTCTGTAACTTCTGAGAGTCTGACTCAAGCTTTCCAAGAATATGGACGTGTGGTTGGAGCTAGGGTCTTATATGATGGGGAAACAGGAAGATCCCGTGGTTATGGCTTTGTTTGCTATTCAACCAGATCAGAAATGGAAGCCGCCCTTTCATCCATGAATGGAGTGGTAATCTTCAACTCTTGTAGATCGAGTAAAAAGGTGATTGTGATTTTGCTTACTGATTGATTGCTTATGACTTGTGTGCTTCAGGAACTGGAAGGACGGGAAATGCGTGTAAGCTTGGCTGAAGGGAAACGATCACAAAGTCAATAGAAATTGAATGAGGCTCTAAGATTTTTACAAATAGTGCCTAAGAAATTAGGAAAGGAGGCCTTTAGCCCTGTACACCAATCATGATCCATTTGCTTCAGTTGGCTGAGGAATTCCTTTTGCATCTCTTGCTGTCTAAACATTATTTCCGCCCAACTCGAAGATAGATTGTTAATATTCTGTGCAACATCTCTTGCTAATGCCAACACTGATTACGTTTTGATTCCATGTGGGTTCATATAAAGTCGTGCATACTGAATCACATATTCAGAACACAATGTACAATCTGTCTTGAATATCTGAGTTTCCGAGGAAGGTGTGAAGTTAACTCCAATATACTGCAGAATATCTGTAAATGGGTCAGACTCAGACAAGGTGAGGTATTTGCCTATTTCAATTTTTTTAATCCATTCTACTTTTATGGAAGATCCTCTTAAAAAGATATCAATGATGATTGAAGGGGTTGGTTGTCAATGCTGTATTCATTACGTGCGATTAGATTTTGTTACAATCTAGGTCATAACTTCATTGATTTATGCGCATATTCAATAATGATCATTATTGATATGAAAATACTCCCTCCGTTCCTTATTATAAGAGACATTTGATACTTATAGCATGTTCCTAAATATAAGAGACATTTAAAAGTTGTCTCTACTTTTTTGTGTTGATTTCTTATTTTACCCATATTTATTGTCTCCAACTCACACTCTCTCTCCTTCCACTTCTCTTTCTTTTAGAATTTACTATTGTTCTCTTTCATGCTCTCTCTCCTTATTAATGAGGGCATTTTTGGAAAAAAAATTATACTTTTTACACATTAATTGTTCTTAACTAATTTTAACTGTTTTTTTTATCAACGTAATTCGGTTATTCGTCTCTTATAATAAGGAACGGAAGGAGTAATATAAAACAATGTACAGTGAAAGATAAAAGGTTAGAAGGTTGGGGGGGGGGGGAGAAGACCAGCTAATGTTGAAGAGGGTATTCTAATTCTGGCCATTTATTCCTGCTGGGTGGGTGCGCGTAGTGTGTTGAGTATATAATGTGCTTGTCAAAAGACAAAAAGCTTTGGTTTAATGAATAAACGCTTAAAACATGTTTTAATAATAATTAATTTTTAAATAACGACATATTTTTGTGAAAATATCTGTTTGCGATTTTCTAATTTTCACAGTCTTTTTTTGTCATTTCTCCATTTAGTTTTGTAGCAATTGAAATTACAATGTTAAATTTTAGCTGAGCATCAGTTATAGTTAAGGACAACTAGCTGTCTCCACAACAATTATTAGTCAGCCTCCATACTACTTTGGGCGTCTCTGCAGATTTTTTTTTATTTTAAAAAAAGTCAACGCTAGTCTCAATTAAAAGACAATAATAAATTATAATAAACTTAAAATATATTACTTGCTATAAATTTGAAACAAAACTATGTTTGAAGTCCATAATTTTAAATGCTTAATTTTTTTTAATTCTTCCTCAGTAAAAAACCCTATGATTTTAGAATTACAAGTAATTTGTTTCTCATATAAAGTTAACATTAAGAGAATATTTGGTATATGCAAGAAAAAAACACTTTTAAAGAATATTTTTACATAAATAGAGATAAAATTTCTTTCATATATTTACTTCATATATTGTAAAATTATTTTTAAAATTATAGTGTGGTTTTTATCCAAACATCCCCTAAGTATCAATGTGAGGAACTATTTTTTCATTATGCTATAAAATTTACAAAGGTGACATTAGTTATAAATTATAATCTATGCAAATCACTTCAAATTTAGCATAAAAGCATGAAACGTATTGTAATTTCTGCTAATACCATGTGGAATGTAATCTCTTCGGACTTATTTTTTGCTTTTTTTTAAACAGAAAACTAATAGATTTTTTTAAATCTCATAACTAAAAATGTCAATGACGTGTTGGAAACTCCCATAATTTCTACTGCCAATATTGTCAATCATTGGGAGACTGAGACTCCTTCCATTCTTTCTTCGTCAAAGAAGATTCCTTTCAGTTAAATTAACGTCAACAATTTAACTTCAGGTTGCAAAATGAAATAATGGAAATTCTAAAGTATTTCTGCAGATAATAATTTTTGTATTATTATTCTAAATCACATGTAGAATTTTAATTTAAAAACATAAATTAAGAATTTTTAGGAACATATTAATGATTTTTAAAGTAAAAATGATTCTTACATTTCAAAAAAAAATGTTAAGATCTAAATCAGAGTGTCCTTTTATTAATATTTCTAATAAAGATAAATTGAATGAAACAGATAAAATTAACAATTGTAATTTTCTCCACTTTATTTATAAATACCTATGTCTTTTCTCTCTTTTTCAAAGCACTTTTAATAATTTATTTTTATTTTATTAGAATTTAGATTTAGATTTGATTTGAGAGATTGCGGGGGAGTGGGCGAGAGGTTGTGGGCGACGGCTAAGAAAGAGCAAAAGGCTGAGCTGCTACTTCCAGCATCTGCACAAAAGGGCCAACCCGTGGAGAGGATCTTTCATTCCAAATCTCTTTCTCAGTCTCTCTCCCTCTCTCTCCTCAAAAGGTACCTTCTCCCCTCTGTCTCTCTTCTCTCTTTCTCTTAGATCTCTCTGTAATTCTTGTTTGCGAACTTACCAAGATTTTGCTTGTGGTGCTGCCTAGATCTCCAGGGGCATATAGGATCTGTGGCTTTGCTGGGGGCGTCTCCTTTCTAGGGTTTAAGAGTTTCTATTCACCATGGCCTCGCCTTATCCCTTTCCCCTCACTGCTGCTCAGGTTTCTTCTATTCTGCCTCTTACCGCCTGCTTCTCTGTGTTTTGGCTTTCGGCTTTTTTCTCATCCGTCTCTAATGGGTTTGCCTGGGGCGAGTGTTTCAGGTTGGGACGTACTTTGTTGGGCAGTACTACCAGGTTCTTCAGAATCAGCCAGAGTATGTGCATCAGTTTTACTCTGATGCCAGCACCATGCTTCGTATAGACGGCAACAACAGGGAGACGGCTACCGCAATGCTAGTAATTCTCGTCTCCTTTGTTTTCTCTCTGTAGAAGTGGTTAACTAATTGCATTCGGGATTGTTTCTTACGTCCCCTTCGGATTATATTGTATTTTGTCATCTCCTGGTACCATTACTCACGGTGCCTTTAAAAATGATGGAAATATATGTCTTAGATTTCTATTTGGTGGATAGTTGCTGTCTGGGATGTGTAATTTGTCATACTCAAACCATAGTACTGATTCCCGGATTTTTGGAGGTGTTTTGAAGATAATAGGGCCCTGCATTGAGAATTGTATTTTTAACTCTCAGCACATTTAGAGGTCTTGTTTAGCTAGCGGCTGCTAGTTTATTCCTTGCATGTTAATAGGTCCTTCCTTATTTGTTAAATGATTCCAAGCTTTGTAAAATTTCCCTTCAATTTTTCATGTGTGATTAGTGAATCACTTATTTTCCCCCCAGAATTAAAGAAATTTCTCTGTGGGCAGCAAATCCATGCACTTGTTATGTCACTCAGATATGCTGGAGTTGAAATCAAGTCAGCTCATTCTCTGGAGTCTTGGAGTGGTGGTGTTATTGTGATGGTCTCTGGATGTGTGCAAATTAAAGAATACAATCAGAGAAGGAAGTTTATGCAGACATTTTTCCTTGCACCCCAAGAGAAAGGGTTTTTTGTGCTCAATGATATATTTCACTTTGTTGAAGAGGATCCAATTCCCCACCACCAAGCAGTCTTGTTAGCCCAAAGCAATCTTGATTCAATTAATAAACCAGGTAGATTTCATTTTAGCCTCAATGTCCCCCCCCTTAAATTTATTTGATTCATTTAATGCAAAATTAAATTGGAAAAGAGGAGAAGAAACTATACAAGTTTCTGGTCTTTATAATTAATTTCTTGGAGGCAATGTTTTTGTTTGTGGTGTTGTATCGTTTTGCCAATAGTTGCTCCCTTTTTCATTTGTGTCTAGTGTTTACATATTTTTAGTCAGAAACCCAAAGTTAAGTGACTTGAGTCGAATGTATTTATTAACAATAATCCTTTCATAGGGCAAGCAACCAATTTGACTGATCTTGGAATGACAGTTACTTGAAATTATTCTCCTTACTAATTGAGATCTATGAATTTTCCAGTGTCCAGTTACCTGCTGGGTACAGATATCCAGTCAAGGGAATTTGTTTCTACTAATGAGGTCAAAGAAAATGGTGTAGTTGACAATTATGGATATTCAGAGCAAAGAATGCAGCATATCTCTGATTCTGAACATATTAGGGAGGATAATCCTGCTGAAGAGTCAAATGGCTCGCTTCAAGCTGCAGTGAATGTGGTGCAAGACCATGTGCCTGCTTCTGCTGAGGAACCTGCTGAGGAGCCCCAAAAGCATACTTACGCCTCCATTGTATGCCCCTTACTTAATGTTAAGTTAATTTTCAAATGTTTTTTTTTTTTTTGCCCCCTATGGATACAGACATACAGTTTTGATTTGGGGGCCTGACAATTGGACTGTTGTTGGAAGTTGCGGGTTGCTAGAGGACAATCTACTCCGCCAATGCCTTCCCAACCTTCCCATGACAAAAATGTGTCCTCAGAGTGGGATCATATTCCTCAGACTAGTAGTCAGCAAGCAACAGCATCAGCAAACACATTTGAAAGGCCTGAGACTGATGCAGTTGCAGCAGAGGAGGTTCCTGCAACAGAGGATGAAGGTTACTCCGCAGTACTTGTTTGAACACATTAAGTAGCGAGTTTATATTTTTCGTTTTTTTCAGTCATATTAGTTGTTGGTTTTGAGATACATTTTCGTGGTCCATGCCTCATTCTTCTGCGTGCAAATAAGTTTTTATGAGGAAGCCGTTTTTTATGTAGTTTTCATCTTATACTTGGCCTGGATTTTGATTTGATTTGGAATCCTGTCAGGTGAAATCAAATCTGTTTATGTGAGAAACTTGTCTCCTGCTGTTTCTACTTCTGAAATTGAGGAGGAATTTAAAAAGTTTGGTCCAATCAGGCCTGATGGTGTTGTCATCAGAAGTCGCAAAGTCTGGTCTTTGCATCTCTTGAAACTTTCTTCCCTTTTTTTTAATGGTTTATGTATGCGTCAATTTCTAAAGTTTTCATTTAATTTCAGGATGTTGGAGTTTGTTACGCATTTGTTGAATTCATGGATATGAATGGGGTTCACAATGCAGTCAAGGTTTGGGTTTGTTTTTGCGTCTTGAATTTGAGATTTCCGCTGCTTAAGAGTTGGCATAATCCTGTTTAAACATATTAGTTGCAACAGAACTCATGAAATTTTGGTACTGCATTTTTGAACTAATGAGCTGCTTCTGATCTTTGTTATTACTTACAAACTATATTGTCCCTTGTGCATGTTTACTGGATTTCTTTTCCCGATCCTCATGTTTTATGTTTGCAGGCGGGCTCTGCACAGATAGCTGGAAGGCAGGTATACATTGAAGAGCGAAGACCGAACAGTTACATTCCTTCACGAGGAAGTAAGTCTTTCTTTTACTATTGTTGCAACTAAATTCTGCTGCATGACTAGTCTTGACTCTTGAGAGCACCTTAGGTTTGTCGTAGACCCATGTTCAAATCTTGTCAGTCTCACCATTTGGCATCCCCTCTGTGTACTGTTGCAACAATTTAAATGAGATATCAGATAAATCTGAATCTGGATTCATCTTTATGCTTGATGTGGTTTGGGTGTTTGGTATGCTATATTTGAGTGACGCCTTTTCTCTGTCTTGTTTACTTCTACTGTATTATCAACAGGGAGGGGTAGAGGCAGGGGTGGCTATCAATCAGAAGCACCAAGAGGGCGTTATGGTTCAAGGAGCTTTGGCAGGGGAAACGGCCAAGATGGAAGTGATCGGGATTATAACAAACCATCGAGGGGTAATGGTTTCTATCGACCCAGCTCTCGACAAGAGAGAGGATATTCAGGGCATCAAGTAGCAAGAAATGGACAGAATCTGGGAGATTTAGCTTCATAAGATTCTTTGCTGAGGAAATTCAAATTTTGGGTCCAGCAGATATTTCAGTTCTATATAGTCGATTTTATTGAGGAAGCAAACAAATAGTCATATTTTTTAAAGTCTACCTAAGGAAGGTGTTGTAGGACTATGGATTACATCTCTCTTTTTTCCATAGCGATTTTGGTCAAGGGGCTCCTGGTTTTAATTATTTCCTCGAGAATTTGATGTTAAGTCTGCAGTCTGAAACATGAGAATTGTGTCTACCCTAATGAAACCTCATGTCATCTGAATCAAGTGTATTTGTAATCACTTATTTCTCAAATGGATTTGATGGAAACATTTCAATACATTATCTTCCAGTCCGATCTTCCCCATTTTCTCCTTGACCCGACTTACGGGTTTCATGTAAACATTATGGTTACATTGACCGTCGCGCAAACTCAGCGCATGACGTGTTGAGAAGGGTAGTGCAAAAAGATAATTAAGTTCATGTGTTGAATAGTGTTTATGATTTTATTTATTTAATAGGCTGGAAATTATTATTATTTTTCTAAAAACTATCAAAGTTGATGTGAAGAACAGCTAACATGTACACATTGAGATGGTAGAAACAAGAATTGAGAATTCAGCTGACATCTGTAGAAGCACTAAATTTCTGTCGAGTATTGGCATGTGCCAAGGTGATCTCGTGTAAGAGGCACTTCAACGAGTCTCTACTCTGAAATTTCAGCCTCCACATCTTCTGTTTCCCATAGGAAGCAAGCATATGCCGCCAGAACATTGCTGACAAACACAGAAACCGGAAAAGAATGATTTTCATCCTAAATTAATAATGCACAGATTTGAGGTAGTCGAGGTTTGGCTTTTATTACTTTCGTAATTCAGAATTCCCCCAAAACATTATGTTCACTGAAAACCAGCTATAGAGCATTCGACAATTCTTTGACGACAGGATGAACACTGAATTCACATGAATGTGTAAAGCTGAAATTATCTTCCCCGTATTCCAGAATCCAAGATAAAACAGGCGTGTGAGATAAAACTTATATTTTGTATCTCGGAATTTTACCTGTCCTCAGGAGTAGCTTTAACTGCTTGCTCAAAATATGATAACGCTTTTCTCCAGTCATGATGAAGTTGCCACTCTAGTTTTGCATATTCCGATATCATTTCACCATCACCAGGATTAACTAGGATTGCACGCGAGTAGCATTTTTCTGCCGCCTGAAGGTCTTTCTTGGACTGTACATTGAAGGTGGAAAAGAGAGTTTAGAAAATGGAAGAAAAATGAACTTTGCAGGCTTCAAATTTATGCGTACAATTTGTAAGGAAAAGGCATAGATGAGTTAACTATCAACCCCTGTTCTTGCCATCTATCCATGGGTTTATGAGGGCGTTTCAGTGACGCATGTATTGTGGTTCCCTCTCTACCCTTAAGACAAGTAATAACCAATAACAATTTAATTGTTAGGCAGAGTCTCGTTACATATATGTCCTACTCACATGATCTGACAAGCCCGTATTTATGATAAAGACAATTACCACCTGTACGATAGTCCAGATTCTTTCATGTTTACGAGAACCTTCATACAAGAGACAGAGTGATGCAGTGGACATGCTCAGCGGAACCCACCTGTGTGGGGCTCCACACTATGTGTGTGGCTCCACACTATGTGTGTCTGTGTCTTTACTTTTTCCTTTTTGCCTGAGCATGACAAAACCTGGGCTCCATGATGCACGGAGGCAGTCCAAACCTTTGAAATTTTGTTCCATAGCTAGAGAATTTCAACTATCATAGTTTTTGCCTCTTTCGTTGTTTGTCTTCTGAAAACATATTTCCCAAAAACTGGAAAAATAAAGTTCACGTTTTATAATGCCATAAATGAGTGTCTAGGATGAGCATTTACCACTTCCATTATAGAACATTATATCCCTCTACCCATTCCCGCACCCCAAAACTCCCAAAAGAAAAGCCGCAAGGGAAAAAAGAACCCTTAATGTTTTGATCCAGTCATCAAAATTCAGAAGCATGCGTCCATTCTACGCTTCCGGCTAGCATTAATCCCTTCAGAAACATCAATTGTTTCATATCTTCTTGGGGGCGTTTAACATGATTGTTCAAGGCTTGATGATTATCAAAGTTTTACTTAATATGCATATCTCACCTGAATCAGAAACTGGGCATAAATTTTCAGAAAGTAGGAGTCGTTAGGATTTTCATCAATCATCTTTTTATAGTAGTCCTCAACACTGCCATCTTTTCCACAGTTAGCCAGAGTAAGATCCACTGCATCATCGTCAATTTTGTCACCTTTGACAATTATGATATGTTGTTCCAGCTCTTCCTTCTGCATTCAATTGCAAAGATTAAGATATAAATAATCCATGTGTCTCATTCGAAATACATGATGAAGACTAGAAAGGAAGCGGGCCAGGGGTGGCAGGGGGAGCAAAGCAGCACCTCCTCACTGTTATTTTGTTGTTTTCCAATTTCTTCCTCATCATCTTCAATGTCCCAGAGAAAACTAGCATATGCTGCTAGAACATCGCTGAAAAGAATGCCACTTGCGTATTGTTATACTGTAAACATGCAAAGCTGACAATTATACATTTTTTATCTGAAGCAGCCAAATTCTGAAGGCAACATTGTGGTAACAACGCATTCCAGCCCAGAAGCAATTGGATTAATAAATTATTTTTGGGGCAAATAACACACCATAAATACTATATTTATTTTCGGAAGGAAGATAATAGTAGCAGAATGCTTACCTATCTAGTGGAGAAGCTTGAGCTGCGCCTTCAAAATAGGTCAATGCTTCATCCTTGTCTTGATGTAGCTCCCACAGCAGCTGAGCATACTGCATCAAGAATTTACCATCACCAGGATCTGCTAGTGTGGGGCGAGAAAGGCACTCTCCAGCCCCATAAAGGTCTCCCTTTGACTGCCAGTAAATATAGAAAACAAAATCAGTATCTGAGAAAAATATTAACATAAGAAATATTATACTTCATAAAGACAGACAACAGAGAAATTCCGGACTTATAGCAATTTGTCTAGGCAATGCATCATTCCAGACATTGCCTAAAATAAAACCAATTTTTTCTATACAAACAAGACAGAAAGTTCAATATCTCCGGTGATTTTTGAAGTTACGCTGGCTTGTGAACAAAGGTGACTGAGTCCAGGTCAAAAAAAATAATAATAATAAAGGTGACTGAGTCCAAAAGGACATGAATAGCAAAACATACATATCTCACCTGAATCAGAAACTGGGCATAACTCTTCAGAAACAAAGGGTTGGAAGGATTTTCATCAATCATCTTCCTGAAGTAGTCCTTAATATCAGCACCCTTGCCATAGTTGGACGCTGTAAAATCTGCTGCATCAATCTCTTGTCTTGCTGCAGGGTTCAGGGAAAGGCCAGCCGGTTGATCATCTTGTTTTGGGGGACTGACAAATTTACTATTTTGTTCATTGTTCTCATTCTGCACCTAATCACAAGCTATAATAATTAAAGAAACACATATGAACCATCAAAGAAATGCAATGTTCCCTAACAAGAAAAACGAGAGGAGAAAGAGAAAGGAGCACCTTGCTGTTAGTATCATGTTTTCCATCATCATCATCGTCTTCTTCTTCTTCTATTTCCCAGAGGAAACTGGCATATGCTGCAAGAACCTGGCTGAAAGAAATACAAAATGTGTACTGTTATCTCTAAGACATGTCAGGCTCAGAATCCAGAACGTTTTAAGTGAATCATCCTACTTCTGCTGCTTACGATGAGTTTGAAGAAAATATTCCATTCCGTAAGTTGTCCGATGATTAGACAATTGCAATTATTCAATTCCAATTCAATTTCCAGGCTACACATTTTTTAAATGGAGTTAGGTGAGTGTGTCAGAACTCTCACCTATCTGGAGGGGGAGCTTGAGCTGCACGTTCAAAATACTCTAATGCTCTTTGTTTGTCACGATGGAGATCCCAGACCAGCCTAGCATACTGCACTAAGATTTCACCATTGTTAGGATCTGCCAGAGTAGCACGTAGAAAATACTCCTCAGCTCCGCGAAGGTCTCCCTTAGACTGCCAGTATAATTTAGAAAATAAAGATCAGCATCCGAGACAAAAATAACAAGATGTAATGTCATGCCTGTTTAATGAAACTAATGGAGCCATGAAAGAAGAAAAAGGAAATATTTAGATGACTTGGCAACTATTTCTGACACCTTTCTTAGTTTTTTTCCCTCCCCGAATGGACACCTTTATTAGTTTTTGGATAGACGGATAGTCCTGGTGGTTGTGATGTTGTTTCCTAAGTAGTATTTTGATACAGGACATTACGCAGATTCGTTCTGCCCTAGATTATCTCTTATAAGGATTATTAAGAGAGTCAATAATCCTCACGTAAAAAAGCTTGTTACCGACTGAACGGTACCCTGAAAAAACCAGAGCAGAAACAGGCTAGTCAACCAACTGAATAATTAGCAACAGAAGAAGACAAGGGAACTATTGGTATAGGGCTTGATGGACCTGCGCAAATGTTTTTAAATTTACCGCCATGCTACAACTCAACTTTACCTTACATTTCCTTTCAAAAATGATGTATACCTCAGGAAACAGCGAAACCATTAGAGAAGAAAAACCAGCAATTGAAAATGGGGCTCACCTGTAAAATCTGAGCATAATTTCTCAAAATCAAAGGGTGGCAGGGATACTCATCAATCATCCTCTTATAATGCTCCTCAACATCGCCACTTCCATCCAAGTTTGGCAGACATAAATCATCAATAGGAAAGCTATCAAACCCAAATCCAGTTCCATCAACCCCAAGGCCAGCGGCTAAATACATCGGGGGACTAGCCGGTTCAACTTCCTCCTCAACCCCCGATTTCCGACTCCCACTCAACTCATCCTTCTCACTCTCCTCTTCCTCCTCAATCAAGTCCATCTCCTTCTTACCGAAGCTAAACTCACCGCTATCCAAGGCTCCTATCATCTGCCCAATAGTAATGGTTCTCAGTAAAACCTCTTCCGTATCGTTAGTTCCATCTCCGAACCCTTCGCTGGAGCTGTATATGTCAAATGACGGAGCTGTGCGCAGGGTTAATCGCTGATCAAGCGAATCACCCTCTGCCGGGGATTCGGAGCTGGGTAATTCATCCATGGAGCAATAAGAACTCTATGCCAGGCTCTGTCAAGCGTATTGTGATGTTGATTAGGAAGTGAGAACTGAGGAATCTGAAATCTGACGGAATGGAATTCCCTTCTCTTCTATCAAGTTGAAGCTCGCGACATAATGTCAGCGGAGGAAGAATCATATGGCGCTTCAAACGGTTGCATGAGAGATTGACCAATCACCAATCTGAATCTAATAATACTACTATTATTTTTTCAGTGAATAATTATCAATAAATTAATAAATATCCCCGGGTGAAGCTCCGTACATTTTGCTTGACTAGATCCCATCCAGGGGTTCAGATATTCTTTCTTAGGCCACCAATCGATTTGTTTATTTACATGATAAAACTAAACTTATTAATATTTTTATAATTAATTAAAGTTAATTATTTCTTGTAAAATCTCAAATTTATTCTTAATAAAAATTATTAATTAGAACAGAAGATTTTAGTTAATTAACTAGGAATATTATATAAAATAAAGTAGTATTCATTTCACAGAATATACATATATGGATTACGGAGTCCATATAAGTTTTCAGACATGATATATCGTAAATGTTTCCCTCTCTTTTTTTTTTTAATGAAAATACGAGTGGCATGGATTACCAATTTTATTATAAAATAAATCAAATTTTGTTATGGATTTTACATTTGATATATGAATTTGTCAAACTTCGGGTGTGTTTGGATGAAACCAAACCGTGGTTTAAAAAAATGATTCTGGAGAATAGATTCTGGGAAGAATAGATGTCATGAAAAAGTGATTTTGAGAAGTGAGAGTGTTTGGATAGTTATTATCAGAAGCACTTTTTATATATACAAATTACTAAAAAAAAGACATAAGTTAATATGATAATTACAGAAAAAATAGATTTTATGATATATTTTAATTTGAAGGAATAAAATTGTTAATAATATATTTTTTATTAACATAATTAATAATAAGATAATATGATTAATAAATAATTAATATGTATATATATTTTTAAAATATAAGATTAAATATGTTTATAAAAAAATATGTTATAAAAAAATAACAAGATTCATATCCTATAAGCTCTCACACTCTCTCTTTTTTCTCTAAAAGCAAAAAATTTCTGCTTTTTTCCAAAACCATAGTTTTGGTCCAAAACCACGGTTTGCCCAAAACCAGTGGGTGTTTGGGTGACTTATCACCCAAACCATAGTTTGGGGTGTCATCCAAACGGAGCCTTCGTCAGGGATGCGTGAATGCGACAATTTTATTCAGAGCAGGTGAGGTAATATTTTCGGACTGAAAGATAACGAATGAGAATGATACATTTTGGTATTAAAAGATAAATAGTTAGAGATTTAAAAACGGTACTAGCTTCAGTTTGGGCAACCAAAAAAAAAGGGGGGGGGGGGGGAGATAAAAGTCTTGCTTATCCGGAACAGAAAGGTGAAAAGGGTGGACGCAACGAGAAGTCCATGATTCCATCAAAGTTTAAACTGAATCTTCGCAATTCACATGCACGAAATAAAAGCAAGATCCGATGCAGACTTGAGAGACATTTGATGGAAAATAGGCATAGGCTTAGGCTTTAACAGCCGCCCGGGAAGATAACGTACGTGATCGGCGATGAACCAACCTAAGCATCTGTAAAAGTCAAGCGATTGTAGAGATGACAAATAGTAGTAATTAAATTTGGAAACTAATTAATTAATCAGACTTCTTGACTATCTATCTACTACCTCCGGTCTTAATTATAAAAGCTAGTTGACTATTTTGAGAAAATTAAAGAAATAAGTGAAGTTAATTATTTATAATAAATAAGTGTTGTATTTTCTAAAATATCCTTACTAATTAAGTTTATTGGTTATAACTATCATCATTAGAGAAACTATCTTGAAAAAGAATGCCTAAATATAATGGACAAATTATATCAGAGTTTTATAATTAGGATCAAAATAAAAATCAAATAAGGTCTTATATTAAAGATCGGAAGTAGTATATATATATATATATGGGTGTGGAGTTGAGGAAAATCATGCATTGACGTTAGTTGAATAATAATGTGATCACAAATTAATTTCTTGTGGTGCAAGAAGCCACGGGTTCCTTGCCGGCTGATGAGACCATTGGGCGTTTTGTTTTGACATTGACGCGCAGCAATGCAACCTGAAGATATACATTAGGAAACAATGCACTGATTTCTTTCCCCCTCTTTTCATTTGACTGTGATGTACTACTACTTCCGATCTTTAATATAAGAATTAGTTTGGCTTTTAATTTGATTTTAAATATGAGACTCTAATTTATTTTGTCTCTCATAGTTATTCATTTTTTTTCAAGATAGTCTTTATAGTAATAGTACTTCTAGCTAATACACTTGATTAACATAGTATTTTAGGAAAAACAATACCTATTTATTACAAATACTAAAATTAACTAATTTTATTAATATACTCAAATTAATGAATTAGCTTTTATATTAAGGATCAGAAGTAGTGTATTATTATCACTAGGGATCTTAATTGCCTTCCTCCATTGATTTGAACGTGATTTAGTCTTTTTAATTTCCTTTCATTGTCAAACCTGCGGGCAGCACTTATTAAGGTGGTAAAAGCAACATCATACATAGGGTTAAGATGCATCAAGCATTTCGAAGTATTTTCTCGGATATATCTAGCATTCTAAAATATTTTATGGTGCATCTAGCACCCTGAAATATTTTTTTAGATGCATTCAGCACTGTGAAGTATTTTTTGTGTGCATCTAATACCTCAAAATACTACCTCTTGTCTTTAATATAAGAGCTGGTTGACTAATTTGAATAGATTAGAAACTTAGTTAAATTTGTTATTTGTAATAAATAGGTATTATTTTTATTAAAATATTATTACTAATTAAGTATATTGGCTAGAACTATTATTATTATGAGGACTATCTTGAAAAAATAAATAAATATAAAAGACAAAGTGAACTGTGGTCTTATATTTAAAATCAAAATAAAAGTTAAACGATTTTTATATTAAGGATTGGAGGTATTGTTCTTTGACGCACCCAGAAAATTTTTTTTGTTGCATCCAGAACCAAAGCAAAAAATTAGATACTTTAGGGTACTGGACACCCATAAAAAAAAATTTAAGGTGTTGGACGTACCACAAAATATTTTGAAATGCTGGATGCTCCTGAAAAAAGACTTTAGAATGTTATATGCACTTTAATGCTCATGAATATCGTAAACCGAAACTGATGTTATATATATATATATATATATATATATCGTACACAATTCACTCAACTAACATGCGTTTCATTAGACGTACGTACGTGCATGGGTCTTTCAAGTTTGAATAATATTCATGCATGCATAAATCAGCTCGTTGTAACTTCTTTCTGGAGAGAAGCAGGGACAAAGTCTGTCAAAAGAAATCAAAGAAAGAACACACTAAGTTGTATTCTACAGCCTAGCGTGAACCCGATCCTTGCCCAATAAAGCCATGTGCGAGTGCGAGGCTAGTTGGGATTCTATTAAAGGAAAAACCACCACCATCTGGCCAAACGAACTCTCACATACACACCAAATCATCAAATGAGCAGCAAATTAATATAAAAAGTAAAACCCCCACACGCTCACCGAAAACAACGCTGCCAATTAACGTTCCTAAATCAACCACTGATTAACTTCCTTTGATTTCCTATATTCTTTGGTACAAATTAATTTCACTCTGCAAATTCCTTAATGCTTTGGCTTCCTTATTCTCCCCTCTCGCCACACCTTAATGTCACGCCCTTCCTCGTCGTCCTCCTCTTGGACGACGAGCGGGATCCATTGAAATCACCTCCCTCATTCCCCTCTTCGCCGGTTCTTCACGTGCGTGATTAATCCATAATCCCCAGATTAATCACTGTTCATCGAAGATCATATCCTGTTGCTCCTTATTTATATCATCATGTCTCGTATTCCGACTCCTTTCCAGCTCTTGGAACTCAATGTCATATCCGCGCAGGACCTGTCTCCGGTGTCTCGGGCCATGCGAACCTATGCGGTTGCATGGATCCACCCGGATCGGAAGCTCTCCACTCGGGTCGACACGCACGGCCACAAGAACCCGACTTGGAATGACAAGTTTGTCTTCCGGGTCGATGAGGACTTCTTGTACGCCGACACCTCAGCCGTCATGATCGACATCTACGCTCTCCATTGGTTCAAAGACATCCACGTGGGATCCGTTCGTGTCCTCATCGCTAACCTTATCCCCTTCCCGCGCAGCAACAATCCCTCCTCGGGGATGCGGTTCGGGGCGCTCCAAGTCCGAAGGCCGTCGGGTCGTCCCCAGGGGATTTTGAACATTGGTGTGGCGGTGCTTGACAGCTCCATGCGGAGCATGCCTCTGTACACCCACAATCCCTCAGCCGTTGGATACCGCCATTTGATGGGCGAGAAAGATGCTTATGAGCATCATAATCATATGAGCCCTCGACACGCTTCCAAGCCGGAGCTCCGGCGAACCAAGAGCGACACCAGCTCTATGATCAGCGCTCGACAGCAAAGGCCCAGGGGCACAAGGGGGAAAGCATCTTCGGTGTTGTCATCTTCAGATGCCACTTCTAGGAAAAGCGGCAAGAAAAAGAGCCGCTCACGGTCTAGGGCTAGCTCCAAAGTTAGCGGCTCCGACGTCAGCGAAGGAGGTGGCAAAATTGGAAAACCGACCTCTGTTCTCAGCGAGCCTGGGGCTGGATTCCAATGGAGGGCTAAGTTTGAGGGGCCAGATTCTATGCTCAGCGGCTCCGACCTAGATGAGAAGCCGATCAGGGTTAAATCCCCCAGTCCGAATCGCAATGCCAAGGATTCTGATGTCATCGATCACAAGAACCAGAAATTGCAAACGCCAGAATCGTCGACGACAGACTCAGAAACGACCACCGACACTCATGATACTACTGATAACTTCAATGCCGCCTTTGAAAACCAAAGACTCTCTCAGAAAACCAACAATGTGTATGAAGTCAAGCCAT